TATTTTTATATAGGTGTATATATATATATATATATATATATATATATATATATATATATATATATATATATATATATATATATATATATATATATATATATATATATATATATATATATCGTTAGTGTTAATTTCAATTTAATATGGACCCAGATTCATTTCTCACGATAAGGCAAGAATTTTTTATTTATACATTTCACTTTCTTGTTACTCGTATCACACCGGTCTGCCTGCCATTCGTTATGCCGTTTTGTGTTTTGTTACGATTCTCTTATCTTTTGAGGGTGTTTTTTTATTATTTTATTTTTGCATTAACCACTGGACCTTCCTTCGTCTGCTCATTTGGTTGATGAATCCATTAATTAAGTATAATTAACGCTAGTTTTCTTTAAACAAATGAACAATTTAAATTACTAATTGAAACAAAGGAGCCAACCAGTGGATGTGACAGTGTGGCCTGTTTGGAACGAAGCTACGTTGGCTCAGGAGAAGTGGGTAGGTCGTCTTAAATATATTTTTGGCTGTGTTTTTTTTCACGAATTATTTCACCAACTCCATTCAACATGTAGCTGTAACGTTGTTTTACTATTAATCTTTTCACCGTTGTTGGCACTACAAATTTCGTAGGGTTATCACACGCATTGAGTGGAGATGCAGTTTTAAAAAAACTTCAATTTAGCAAGCCTTGCATGATCAATATCCTGGCACTATCTTCATTTGTTCGGTCTTTGTTCAGATTTAAATTCCTGATAGTGGTTGGGGTGATTGGCGTGGCGGACAGGCATTCACTTGGCGATATTTATTTAGTTGCCGGTTGCATCTAAATCAGTTACTTGTGTGTGTATGTGTGTGTGGTGTTTGTGTGTGTGCGTGTGTGTGTGTAGAGTGTGTGTGTGTAGTGTGGGCGCGCGCGCGTTACGTTATTATTCTTGCTGTTTTTGTTAACATTTTTACTATCATTTAATAAAAAAATCAATTATTTTTGATAAATAACAAAACTACGTACACACCATCATAACATATCTGATTCATTAAAACATCTTTCCATTATATCGGTCGTTAGGAGATAGCGAATAATTCACAATTTGAAATTTCTTTAAACTGGAAATAATACATTAACATCAATATTTAACCACGATCGTAATAAACATTAAATTATGATCATAATATTCATTCAACCATGCAGACTGATGTTCACACGGCTGCAGATGTTAGATCAAAGGATAAAAACAAGCAAGGAACAACGATAGCGGCAGTAGCAGCAATGGCAGCCGCGACAACAACTTCATCAAATGTAATGCTTCTTGTACTTGCTCTGTTGTGTTCGCTCTGATTTGACATGCTCTTAATTGAAGTTATAAAAACATGAAGAAAAAAATTTCGGCAAATGAGAAATGGCATGGAGAGGGATGATTATGATGATGACGGAAATGTAAATGGTTATGAGGATCATTATCAAGATCATGATATAATTGCTTTCATGTTTTTATTACATTACATGATAATCATCACGTGACAAATGAAATTCCTAATCATTTTTCTTTAACTAAAATTGTAATATAATTTTTTCATTATATTTTTCTTATTTTAATGCAGGAAGGTTCCTATTTTGAGGATCCGGATGGCATATGCATGCTTCCCACATCTCTGGCGTCCCAAGTACATAAGTGGATCCGACCTCATGAGTTCATCAAAGATAAGGTCAAGACGATGATGATGATGGTGGTGGTGGTGAATGAATGATGATGAATGAAGACGATGATGAAGATGACGATAGATGACGTAATATACTATATAAAGTTGGTTCTACGCTACTTTTGCAGAGTATCAGCTCTCCATTGTACTATGATAGGTTCCTTAACTGTACTCTACTCTCTTATGCTATCTGTACAGAACTCTGGGGAGAAAAACTCAACTTGCTTTTTTATTTTTTTACCTACACAACTTCTACCAATTTTACTATTCTAAATAACATCAACAATATTATTGGTATTATTATTCCTGTTCTTATTATTTTTATTATATTATTATTTGCGGTAGTTGCATTATTTTTCTTAGTAGTCGTTGCATTTGTAACTTTGTGGTGTTGATTAAATTTTGTGTCGACAGATGCCAGTGGTTGTTGATAGTTCCGGTCTGGACCACTTTGATTTGACCTCAATGTCCACCAGGGTACACATGAGTGAGGTCCTGCATGTTTGTTGTGCCGACTTCAGATTGAAAATGTTGTTTATGATGAGTTGACGATTTGGGTGATAAAAATTGTAACAATAGTGATAATACATAAAGTTTATAAATATGTCTGTGATACATGAATATTCTTAAGAATTTTTTTCCTGTTCTTCGCTGGAGAGTTAAATTTCAGTAATTTACTTTTCTCTTTCAGTTGATGAGGTTCATAATAGCAGAAGTAACCACCTTGTCCTACCTGCAAGATCAGTCAACTGCACTCCATGCAGCACAACCTGCTCTTCAATCAAACTCCAACACAAACCTCAAAAAAACTTTGATGCCAAAAAATAAACAAAAAAATAAGAATAAAAGTAATAAAAACACAAACGACAGCAATGACGCTAGTGAAAACGTCGACAGCGACGCTGATAACAACAACTACAGTAAGAAAAACGAAATGAGTTTCAACAGCGTGGAGGACGAGGTGGACGATTACGACGACGACAACAAAGACGCCCAGTTTAATAACAGCAGCAACAACAACAACAACTTCAACAACAGCAGTCAGATTTGGAGGCCTTGGAACCACATATATTCATCGCCAGGAGTCGCACCACAGGCAGCTACAAAAGGTGGCAAACAGACGGCAGTCACTCCGATGGTCGGTGGACCCGGAGGTGTTTGGACCTCCGCGAGTATCCCATCCTACAACAAATATGGAAAGTACTGCATCAAACTTTACTGGATGGTATCCGTAGTTTTTATTTGAATCTTGACAAATAATTTGTATCAGTTTTAATTGATTTTGCCAAAAAAATTTATATTTCTATTTTATTCCATAATTTACTGAAAAAAAATCAATTTAGTGTATAATACTGTAGACTGCTTTCAGAAATTTTAAATCGTATGTGGCTTGTTGTATTTATTTTTAATGTATTTAAAATGTTCTTTATATACCAAGTTATTAAATGTTATTATATTTGTTTACTTTCAAACTAAATGTTCATTTGTGACAAGGGTAACTGGCGCAAGATAACAATTGATGATCTGCTGCCTGTTGACGCAAACTGCAACCTGCTTCTTCCATCGACCATGCTACAACATGAGTTGTGGCCCATGTTGCTCTCCAAGGCTCTCGTCAAAATTGCCGCCCTCGAGTTTGTTCCATTCTTGTTTCCATTTATGTTGTGATTAGATTCAATGTAATATCCTATAGTGAAATTTTTATTATTTGATTTAAGATTTTAGGAGTTTTAATTGGTTGATGAAATCAAACCTGTTATTAAAAATGGATTGTTGTACGGCGTTTGTTAAAAAAATGGGGTTGTAAGAAAAGAAATGCAATTGGTTGATTTAGTAAAGTAAAAAATACAGCAGCCAACATGATGTGAATCACAAAAGTTACGAGGAGTTGAAAATTTGAATGAGACGACAATTTTAAACAGATGTCTATCAAGCCTCAGACGATAGATCGGTGTCAAAATGTAGTGTCTAAATTTATCAGAACAAATTCTATGAATGGTAAAACGAAAAAATCGCCTAACTTATTAATGATGAAAGCGCAAAAGATGCAACCATTGGATTTGTGGCTTGCTGTAGCGTAGTGAAGAAAAAGTCGTAAATGAAAATACGTTTCATTGTTTTTATCATCAACAAAATTGTTTATATTATAATAAAAATGATAATGCTGTAACTCGTCATGCGTATTTCATCTCATTCTTGTGTTGACTTTTACGATTAGCAGTGTGTGAATTATTATAAAACTCATTCAGATGAATTTAAACTTCCACCACACAGCTACCCAGCCACCATAAGAGAATGGGAGTTTGGAGATTTCAGCGTGGTTCAGTGCCTCACCGGCTGGCTGCCCGAACTCCTCCCGATCAGGTTGCTTGCCGTGTAAATCATAATCTCGATACATAATATCAATAACATTACTTAATATTATTTGCAATATTGCACCATTCTTTGGCTTTACTCTCATTATAACTTATATTTTGCGAGCGTTTATTATTTTGTACCTTCCCAGAAGTTCCAATTTAAACGAAGTATGGAGTATGTTGAAAAAAGAATTGGATGAATTCAAATTGCCGCCATCAGCTGAAGAAGTAGCTGCGGCTGAGGCTGCGCTTGCTACTGCTACTGCGGCTGTTGAGTCACTGCCCGCAAATGATTCTCCAGAAAAAGTAGGTTATATGCTTTCTCATTTGTTGCATCAAAAGGCTGCTGGTTGGCTTGATGATGTTATATTTCGTTTTTGGACGTTGTTTAAATTTCAATGAAACTTTCAAATCAACACAAAAAAAATGTAAAATTTTGATAAGTATTGCGAAAAGTATTCTATTGTTTTATTGATTGCCGCGCTACGGTAGAAAGTGAATTCTACCAAAGTTATTGCGCTGGTGTTTCAGCGTGGAGTGCTGATGTTTGGAACTAAATAGACACTGTTGGAGACTATATTCCATAGAGCCAATGACAAATTATAGCTCAAATGAACATTTTTCATGGTTTAACATATAAATGAAACGTTATTTAATTATATACTTCCACAGAACAGAAGCAAATCTAAAATGGACAAGACGAGAAGTACGGCCAAAGGTACTCAATTTTGACAATCATATGTTTGCTATTTCCCTTTTTTTATTGTTCTCATTGGTTGCTAATTGTCAAATTATCTAATTTGTAAATAAACTTTACAGTTCGTAATTTTTTTATAGTAAGCAATATTGCAGCAGCTGTTTCTCAGTTTCATATTATGCTAACCATTTGTGACCTCAATGTTAGAATGGCAGTGATTGTATATGATTTGTAAGAAAGTTATTTTCAGCCGATCTTCATATATTTTATAAAAAAATTTCGTACACGATTTGTAAGAGTTTATTTTTTATTTTCATTTTAACAAGTTTTAACAAGTGATATATGATGTGATATATGATAACAAGTTTGTGATAAATGATATAAAATTTAAATGTTGTTAAAATAATTGACAGCAGCAAAATCAAAAGGAAAGTTTAAAGAAGAAAAAGGTTACAATTGATGTTTTGGCATGTTGCTTGGTTAAATAAAAGGTTAAAGGTTAAAGGTTACTCTCTCTCTTTTGCGTTAGCTTCAGAGGTTTCAACGACAAACACACACAGCGTATATGAATACGCGTGCAAACCACGCATCATACGCATTGCATGTGATAGGCGGAGATCTCTTTGTATTCGAACCCAGTCATTGCAATAGCAAGACCAGGCGCCTTTAACCATTGAGCCATCCCGCCGCCCAAATAATAAATATTGTCAATAAGATTCTGAGTAATAGAGGGGTGGATTTAAACAACGTTGATGAAGGGTAGAACTTTCGAAAGTTTTGAAATTTAACGGGGCACCCAAAACTTTAAAAACTTAGAAAAAATTATGCCACCTTTCTTTAGTCCGCCACTGGGAAATAATATTTGTTACGCACTATTAAGTGTCGCCCGGTTTGTTATGCATACAATTAGATGGATGCCTGAAATTAAAAAATTTTTTGAAGTGGTAGTGGAAGAGAAGAAGTCCGACCTGCCACCTGCAAAACCGGAAGTTATCGTGATGGGTCTGTACCAGGGTACTGCTAAACCCCTTTTTACTAAATCTGAAAAAAACGAACTGGTTAATTGTTTTTCCGCCATTTATTTTCATTTTCAAGATTTGCTTTTCGTTATTATAAGCTCAATATGACCATACTATATTGTCGTGATGTGACATTTCATGGCGAAGTTTCAAATAACTTTAACTTGTTCATCAAATGTTTTGAATAAAAAATAAATTTTTTATAAATTAATTTTGTCTAAAATATTAAAAAATCATAGTAAGTTATTTTAAAAAATTCTTATAGAAATAGTAACATTTTTCTTAATTTCATTAGCTTTTATAACTTCTCAATTTTTATGATATTTGGAAATATTGAATTAAGAGGTTTTTTGTCTTACATTTTTAAATAAATTCGCTTCATTGTCATATATAATTAAGCAATTTATTCGCTTTGTTATTACATGGCAGCAAGACAAATACTTCTTGTTATCCGAGTACGGCCTGGTTCCTGATCTGTCACATCCTCTCCTCCTCACTCAGACTAGGTCAGTCCCTCTGGAACCTCCCCCTGCCATCCAATCCATTCCGGCCTGGAAGATGCTGAGACCGAGGTACGAGGACTGCGAAGGTTTGTATTTGTTCCGTTGGATGCATCGTCACAGCCGAGTCTCTGAAAGCAAAAAACGAACTTTCGGAACTGCAAAATTTTTGAGTTTATTACCGCTTAAAAAAGTTATTTCAAAAAACTATGCACTTGTTGAAAAGTGACAAACATGGCAGCACGGCAGTGTTAGTAATCTCTAGGCTAGTTTAAGGGTGAAAATGAGGAAGCCGGTGAAAATAGCAAGTATGACGGTGTCGAAGATTATGGTAGAGATAATGTCATTTGTGTTTAATAATTATTCATCAATTGAACAGCGAATGACAAACCAATTCAATGTGTGAGGATTTCTTCCGCGTTCGTGAACAATGAGACCGAGTATGCCGCTCTTAATCAGTAAGTTATGCTCCTTCCGATTTTTGTCATGTTTAGAGTTTAAAACTAGACTGTTGAATTATTTGAACTAGGCAGATGAAGCAGACGCTGGAGAAGGCGCTGGTCTCAAATGTAACCAGTGTGGCAACCACACCGACGAACACTTCGGCTGCTGATATTTCAGAAAACAAAGTTAGATTTGTATCGTAATATTCAGCTGAAAATTTATTAAATAGTTTGACTGAGGTTTTACGTCTGTACGAGTTTGTATTACAGGGGGTGGGCAAACATGTGACCCGCGAGGCCTTGTCCTCCAATAAAAAGGTCGTCAGCCGGACATGATCAAAAAAGGGGCCCCAACTCTTAAAAAAATTCTCCCCCGGGTCGAAAAAATTTGCAATTCAAGTACATATGAGGCTCTTCAGAGGTAAAATCGTTCTCAATGCCGCCCTCACGCAAGAAGTTTGCCCACCCCTACTTTACCTGATTGTACCTCTGTATGTGATGGAAAATTTGCCTGTATTTGTACGTCGGTATGCATTTGTACATTTGTATGTGTTTGTGCATATGTATGTGATTTCATGTCTGTATGTGTTTGTGTGAATGAGTTATAAGAAACATCACCATCTAGTTCACGTTAATACCGCGTAGTTGTTATTCTGTTGAAAACATTTTCAATTGTGATGATGATGAAGGTGGTGAATGATGGCGATTATGATTAGAATAATGATGTTTCGATAGGAGAAATCCAGCAGGTCTCCATCTCCAAGCAAGGACCGGAAGAAATCGTTGGCCGGTGTTAAAAGTTCTCGGAGTAGGCAAGGTTAGGGTTCAACTGTTTGCGGCAATGATGATGACGACGATTGTGAGGATGGGTGATGATGATGGTGATGATGACTTGATAATGATGGTGATGATGACTTGATAATGATGGTAATGATGACTTGATATTGATGGTGACTTGTTGGTGATGATGATGACGATTATATTAATCATGATTACTCCATACTATTGGTTCTGTTGTTCACGACGCTACTCATAAATTTAAATGATAATAAATGAGCATAAAATGTTCATTCTACACTACACATTAGTTAAGAGAATGTTTTATTGTTAAAAAGTGATATTACACTGTTCACGATGTTATAGTCAATAAATTTCAAACACAATAAACGACAAACAAAGATTTAAAAAAGAAGACAAAGAAAGGAGATGAAGAGACAGGCGCAGCAACAGATGTTCCTCAACTTCCCAAACTGCCCACCACCCGGTCTTTCTGGATGGATTTCGACGTTTTTGCCAGATGTTTCAAGTTGGTTCGGCTGGGTGATGTTGTTCTGCGTGACAATGAAATGAGCGATTATTTTTAAAGCCGTTATTGAATTCTTTAAATAAGAAAGTTTTTCGTTAGTCTATTGAAAAGTATTGTATATAGCTGAGAATTATGCTGTGGTTTTTAAAAGAAAATTGTGATGTGATTACAAAATTTATATAAAAAAAATAAATAAATTTTCAAGGTTTGTTAAAGTATATCACAAACCTGAAACGTACCCTTTCAGTGAGAAGTTGACAGATGAACACGTAAGCATGGAGTTAAATTGTTTCATATTTTCATCTTTAAAACTTCCACAACAAACTCAAATCTTGGATATATTTTCAAACTGATAACTTGGCAAAAATAAATTTCAAAACCTAACTATATATTATATTACAGAGACAACAATCACAAACGTTACATGAAACACATGCACGAACCCACAACGAACAGATGTCGACTGCAATGTCTAAATCAGGGACCAGCGTGCCGTCGTCCGTACCAAACAATACACTCTCCGTGCAGAACAAATCCGAAAAAAGCAAGGTCCCACGGGTTTGCTAATAAAATTCAATTTATCATTAGATAAATGTAATAAGTTTATATTGTTTTTTTTACATAAAACCGTTTTTGTCAAGTTTTTAACTATTGCCTAATCTTCAATTTGTACTTAAATAAAACGTCATCTCCATGCAGCCTCCATCGCAAGATGCAGACTCTCCACCGACTATATGCAATCCAAAATATCTGTGTTAGAATTTTTGTTCAACAATATTTTGATATTATGATTAGATTAAATTGTAGAATGAAAGTTTCCTCATTTTACTTGGTACCAAATTTATAAATATGATAATATGATGTTGGCTCGTGAGAATTGTTATGATATGTTGTTCATATTGTTGTAACCCTTGACGCTCGTAGCTACAAACACCGATGTTATAACTTCAAAGATCTCTATATTGCAACACCAGTGTTGTAGCTTCCAACGATCGTCAAGTGTTCGTCTGCCTCAAATGCAACGTTTATTTGAATACCAACAGTGATAGAAACATTTAACTATCACTATTCCAAGTAACTACATAAATCACATTTACGACTCCGCTTTCTTTGCTGGAAACCTGATTGCAAACCTGACTACGTAGGACCTATATACAGCCTTGTTAGCATAGACTCGATATTTCTTTACAATCCTCTTATCCAAAGATTACAAGCATGGCAAAAATATCAATAATTACGATAACAAACAATAGAGCGCAATTTGATCATTCCAGCGGTTATAACAATATTCATCAGGGTTGATCGTTCAGCAATGAAGGTGTAAAAGTCATTATTTCTAATCAACCCCATCACCCTAATTAGTTCGATAACACAGACAAGCATTTGTTTTGTTAAATAGATGTGGACTTGAATGAGCAGGCCAACGTAATCATCAACTTCACGTGTTTCAGTCAGTGGATCTATCCGCTACCCTCCCTATCCGCACACTTTCCAATGAGAAATTCGTCAGCCTCGGACAGCAACAGAGCTGCCGTTGCATCGGCTGAGAAGCATAGAAGGTCTGCGTGTGGCTCGGTCGTCAACGAGTTGGGAGGGATGGTGGTGACTGGTGGGCATTTCGATGCTAATGAAGGATTCTTCAGAGGGGAGCATCAATCAGCTGATGAGCAAGCCACTCATGACATCACTGCTGACGTCATAGGTCATCGTGGAAACGGAGATGGAGTCGATAACAGAACTGATAAACACGAAGAAAGGAAAACAATTAGTGGAAAATCTGAGGTGCGTCAGAAGGTGCGGACGAACGTTCCACACAGCGACATGGTGTTCATGGTTGACGACGTGGATGGCGATGGCGGCGTCTACATCGCCAATGACTGCGACAATGATGAAATCATGCCAGAAGGTTCTCGCCAAGTTATCTACCGTATTCTTTACTTTGATTTTTGACTTTTGTTTTTGTATATATTGGCTAATTCAAAGAATGTTGCGTTGATCACGAAGCGAGCAAGTTGCGTGCAGGCGTGCTGAACATCTACAAGTACACATGGAGAGACGTCGTTGCTGACTGTCCAATCATGAAGATTAAAACAACCGGCAGCTTCTCGAATGTTCTTGCACTGCAACCAGGGTTAATAAATATTCTCGTGTTTCCTCTTGAGAGGCGTTTTCATTTTTAGATTTCCTAATTTTGGATGGGCAATCATTCAAAATTAATTTAATTACGACTCTGAATTTTAATCTCTGCGGATCTGCGGATCTTGAGTCTAAACTGAAAAATATAAACTCGTGACTCTTGTCATCACCATCAAAAATTAGTTAACGAATGTGTCACTAGATCTTTAGGTTATAGCCCCAAACAGAAAGAATCATTGAAATAAAAAATAACATGTTAACCATAATTGAATAATAATAATTGATATAAACAAAAATAAAAAATGACAACCAGCGATAGCACGCATTAACTTTTATGTCGCACTTACATGCCACCAGCCGGCAAGTGTTACAACTCCACATGTCCTCGCCTCACATCTGGCACGTTCACACTTGCTCAAACATCAGCCTATCACTGTTGGACGAGCACGAAGCTATCAGCAAACTTATGGAAGTAAGTTAATGTTGCATCGGTGCTAGGGTCCGCTGTCTGAATTGAGGATTGGTTGATGATTGAGGATTGGTTGTTGCTTGCTTAATGTTTGTTGAACTGACTCATCACTTGGAAGTTGTTTTTAAAAGCAAAATCGAGAGGAGCAAAAAATTTACGCAATAGAAGTTGTTTAATCAGACTACTGGCTAATCAAATTAGTTTTTTATTTGGACTGAAAAGTCGACATGAATCCGCTTAATTGGACGCAAGCGTGGTGGCTACAAAGAAAATTCGATCGCCACTGAAGAGAAGATCCACCTTTCACTTGTCTGCACGCCTGAATTCGTGCGTGTTTGTGTGTAACAATTTTTTTTAATATAATTTAAAAATTTGTAAATAAAAACAGGACAGTCTGACATTGAAAGCATATGCAGCCGGCACGATGAAATGCATGTCAGAAATGTTTCTCAATTTCGGAGGCTATGAGAAGTATCAAGTCTCTTTCAATCACTTCATCTTCAAGGTGCTCCTCTGCAGGGCTGATCTCTCCCTCTCCTACAAAAGACAGGATCAGGTTGGTTGACTGCGGCATGCTTCCTCTGTTCATGTTGTTGCTGTTTGAGATTGTTAACAACAACTTTGAAATAAAAAGTGAGAATTTAGAAAAACAGTCGTGTTTCATTACTTATTGGGCAGTGGTTGGCCACCTAAAAGTTATTTTAACAGTAACTCATTTCGTGTCAACAAGTTGACGAGACTTAGTAAATATCCTGTCCATGTTTTTGTTTTTAAATTTCAGTTTTTTACAAAAATCGTTTCGTACGCACAAAAATCTTTTTGCAGAACTACAGCTTACACTTCCTTATTTTCACTTTCTTGTCCAGTTCAGTAAATATTAATTGCATAATGCGAATTATAAATTTTTTTACAAAAAATAGGAATACGTAAATGTTTTCTTATAACTTGCTGCATATCTCGAGGTTTGCAAAAGAGTATTCATTAAAGTCTTTAATTTCCCCGCTGAAGTCCTTCAAGGAAGCCTTCTATATGGCCATGAAAGACTGCGACCGCCAGCAAAAACTTTCGGAACAACAACTACAACAATTAAAACCTTCAGAGCAACAACAAAAACCACAGCAACAGCAACATCAGCAGCAGCAGCAACAGCCACCAACAACAACACAATCTGAACTGGTTCATTTCATCAGTCGCGAAATGAATTATGCATTGAGGGTTCTCTTTTTTGACGTCATAACTCCAAATCCGCTTGGGGTGGAATATGAATGCAACACCATTCTGTCATCTGGCGATCAAACTGCGAAACAAAGTAGATGATTTCATTAGTTGTATTACCTTTATATTAGTCTGGTTTTCTCAGAACTAGTGCCACTTTGTTCAAAATTTCTACAGCAACGATAACAACAACTGCATCATTATTTTTTGTTAAACTTTTCATCAGGCGCACAATCGAATGAAAAGGGACAGACGACTCCAAACTCGAAAAAGGCGCAGAATAAAAAAAGTTTGAACATTTCAAACGGCTCTTGCATGATGTGGTGTTGTTATATACAACCAGCAATCTCTTAATGTCTCTTATTGTATTTTACTACATTGCCAACTTGTTATGCAGATTGAATCATCTGTGGATGTTGATGTCATCATTATTTTAAACTGCCACACAATTTGTTATACATATTATTAATGACTGCAGGCCTTGTCAACAATATCATCATTATTCTTGTTTCAGCTGAGATTGTTGTTATTATTGTTATTTGATCATTCTAGTATTCCTGACACCATCATTTTTATCACCATCATCACCAACGACTCAAGATCTTCAGGCATCAAGCTCAACTGAACAGAAAAGTATGGAGGAGAAATTGAAACTGAACCGCTGGACCAACAGGTTGCGCTAATGATGGGTGACCTAGTTATAAATTTTGTAATCATTTGATCTAATAACTGTTGATTTAAATGTTGAATGTGATGATGGTGATGTGTTGTTAGTATCATTAGGGATAATGCAGTGTTACAGCATGTAATGATACGGAGGCATGAACAATACGAACGTAGGGAGCCAACCTTGGCAGAGCACCAGGCAGCCACGAAGGTTCAACAACATTGGAGAGGACATTTCTTCAGGAAGATCGTCAACTTTAGAGCCATGCCACTCATAACCATCAGTTGTTTATTTTTTTTTATCAAGTGCATTGCTTCTAATGAAATTTTGAGTCTATAAATTATAATATATAATTTTTATTTAGACTTTTTGAATATTGATGATTGTATTATTGAACGACAGCATTGTCATTGTTAATTAATTTATTATAAATTTACTATAAATTTTTGTTATAACATACTATTTTTATTTTTAAACCATGATCAGCCGGTTTGAAGCAAAAGAAACATTACGAATCCGTCAAACAGATGGCCATGAAACTTTCGACGTTTCTCAGAAACAACTCTCTACCTTTTGGGCTTTGCTTTTTTAAGTTAGAATATGATTAAATTTATATTAGTTGCGCTGTTTCAGTAATCCTTCATTTGTTCAAATCATTCCGTGTACGATGTAACAATGAAACTTTGGAATGGAAATTATTTCAGAAATACAAAATAGCATTAAAATATCTTTTAGTCATTTTTGTAATGATTGTACAGTAATTATTTTAATTAATTTAGTTGATGATTCATTAAAAATTTTGTAATGATTTTGTAATGATTGATTTGATATTGCATGTCAGTTATTAGCGTTTAACATTCAGAATATGTTAGGTTGTTCACGTGTTTCCATTAAATTTATTCCCAACGTGTATAAAACCCCTGAAAGACATTTGTTCAAGTTGTACCCTGACTGGTTGATGAGCTTTCCATTCTGCGTCGATGAAGTTGATAAGGTGGTGGTGCAGGAGTATGAGGGGGTGGCAGGAGATGAGGAGGATGAAGATGATGTGGAAGGGTGGAGGTTGGTGTTCAGGTGAGTGAAGGGTTGCATTTTTACCAATAACGATTCCGTCGATTTTCGTATTTTTATTTTTTATTTACCTTTTTAATTTGATCACGTGATGTATTAGGTCGATCATCATCATCATCATCATCATCATCACCACCATCATCATCATCATCATCATCATCATCATCATCATCATCATCATCATCATCATGACTGTCGACATCGTTATTTTTGTTTATCATCATCGTCAGAATGAATGATTCATCTCATCCATCCATCATATCATCGGTTCAAATCATCATCAATATGATGAATCAGTTCTTTTGTATATGACGATTGTGATGAATAAATCTCGTTGTAATATTACTATGTTAGTGAATTAACAAACAGATGTCTTGTAATGAATAATTGTTTTCTGCTTTTACTTCAAGTTATATTCACAAATACATAGTCAGTGTCATAGTCATAGTCACCACTGAACATAAAAACTCTTCATGTCTCCAGGGACATCTTCCACGCTCCGACTGACAACATGATATTCCTCCCCAAGTTATTCGTTACCCCATCCTCGGCCCCACCCTCCTCCCAAACTCCTCCCAATCCCGTCATCAGAGTCAGAGTCATCAACAACGACACCAATTGCGAAATGCCGAAACTTCTTGGTGATGTTGCCGCTCAGCGTTACTTCAAAAACAAGGTCAATTTCTTTAATTTTTGTTTCTTTGTTATGTCTTTTTATATTTGTACTGCATTGTATTGTATTGCATTGTATAACTTGTATTGTATTGTATCTAGTTTGAAATCGATTATTTCTGGCATGCAAAGCCAGTGTAGATCATCCCTGATGTATGATGATATTGAATCGAAGTTCAAATAACCAGAAACAAGTCTCGCTGCAGTGTTCTGAACGGAATAAAAACCATCATGAAGGGATAAGTTGACACCAAACATAATCGCATTGCAGTTGTCATTTTAACGGTTGAGGTCATGCGGCGTTCTCTTTCAACAATATTGAGTTTTCTTGACATTGAGTTTAAGCTTGTTTGATGACATCCAGCAACTAACTAAGTTTACTGCATTCAACATAGCAAAGAAGACTTGAAGTGATAAGTCAGGTAGTCCAAATCCGTAAAGTTGAATATCATCAGAGTAAAGGTGACAGCTGAGACCGGCTGCTTTGACGACGTTGACGATATCTGCGGTGTACATGATGTATAGCAGAAGACCAAGTACTGAGCCCTGTGGTACACTGCAGATCAATTCTGAAAAAGCCGTGCTCAGTCCACTCCAATCAACACCGGCAACTTGAGATTTGAATAACTTAGAGCATCTCCACCAATATCAAATGAACTAGAAAGACGCTTCAATAATATCTGTGTCGTAAACAGCACTTACATTAAGAAGTGTTGGCAATGATATGTTACCAGCATCAATTGTGTCACAGACGTCTGAAACCACCTTCAAAACTGCTGTCTCAGTTAAATGTGCTTGACGAAAACCTGATTGAACTTTTGGAAGTAATGAGTTTTTAATCAGGTAAGCGAGGAGCTGGCAAGCGACAATTCTTTCATTTATTTTTGAAACGAAGGTAAGGTTTAAAATTGGTCTGTAGTTGGCCACAACGTTGTTCGCTAGACCAGGTCTCTTCTACAACGACTTGAATACTGCAATCTTTTGGGAACTGGGTAACGTTGATGTTTGTAAACATTTACTGACCAGGTTTAATAAAAATGGCAGAAGCGTATCAACAAATTCCACCAAGAAAAATGTTGGAATAGGGCCGAGGCAGCATGTTATACTTGAAGAAAACAAAATGATTGTCTTTAAATCGGCCTTGGAAGTACTCAAACTAATGGAAACAGCTATCGGTCGACCTGAATTCTGGCGGATTGACAATCTTATCAGCTGACAGCTCGGACTTTGCTTTTAGATGTGTTAAAAACTCTTGAGCTGTGATTGGTGGAGAGGTCGTGCACACATTTTTTGTTTACTAAGTAATGACGTAAAAATCTTCCATAAATTTTTTAGTTTACCAGACTTTGAAATTATCAGCGATTGGTAATATATTGATTGCTTTTCTGCACTGGCTTTTTTTCAACGAAAAAGGTTTATGTACGTCGATGAACTTTTTTTAATTCACGAGTAGATCGTTTTATTTCATAGCAATTAATGTCGAACCAGCTGCATGATTTTGAACGAACTTGTTTGTTGACTAATCAACAATACACCTGGGCATTTCTCCATATACATCAAACAGCTTGTTTACATTTATTTGTGTTGTGTTGTATTAAATTGTATTATGTTGTATTTTATTTTATGGTATTATATTGTATTGAATTGTATTGTACTGTGTTGTATTGTATTGTTTGGTGTTGTGTTGATTGTATTGTATTGTAGACATGTAGAGCGCGTTTATTGTCGCAGAAGGTTTAAATGTTTCACTTTACGGTTGATGTTTCTGCTAACTTTTCAATATATGAGTTCCAAACCTTGGCTGAAGCAACAGAAACATTTTTCCTCTTAATTGAGGTGGATTATGAATAAAGAACACGTAAGATCCCCATGCTTTACTGGCTTTAATCGTCAGTGACATTGTAAATTAAATTCATCACCTTTTTCAAAAATCCGCGATTTACTTACATACCACACCTTTCACATAATACTTTTCGTTTAACGCTCACTTAGCATACGGCCTAAAGATATAAGTGTTTTATTTTTGAAATTTTCAATCTAGATTTTTATAGTCACGTCAAATGTTATTTAACATTTAAACAGTTTGGCTACACAATCGTGGGAGAAACGTGCAAATGTTTGAAGAAAAATAAATGGAAACTGAAATTAATTGGCTCGCCTGCTACTGGAATATTGGAAAAGCCCAATGAGGACGATATCAAGAAGCAATTTGATGTTCATGAAATCATTCAGTATCACTGTCCAGTTAAGAAATTTGTTTTCAGGTTTATACTTCTTGAAAACGTCGATTAACAATTACTTGGAGGATTGTTTCTCTGATTCAAAATTCGAACAATGTTTTCATTTCAAACCACGTTAATATTATACAGACAGTGATTTATTTTCACAAGGAGCAATTAAGCATCATCGACAAAACGTTAATCGTCTTTTACAAATCTAACATAACAGGTACAAGTTGACTGTAACACAGAACCAAGTTATAAGCTTCAGTTTCAAAGCATCGAATCCATGCGCGTTGGTTGAGTTGCGAATATTCGACGACGATTGTCTCAAGTGGAGCTCGCATGCGCTTGGCAGCATTGTCGTCCCTGCCTTCCATTTCCTCGCCGAAGAACCACCAACAATCTTTCAGACTGTTCTGCCCACACGTCATCCCACAACATCTGTTGCAGAGGCTGCTGATGGAAAAGAAGCTGATGATGCTGCTGATGATGATGAAGGCGGTGGGGCTGAAGGTAAATAAGGATTTGATTGGTGTTTGTAGAATCTGTTGTGTCATTTGTTGGAGAATGTTGAATGTTTGTTTAGTTTGCATCATCGTTACAGTCACTCCGCTTTTCAAATATTTATTAACTTTAATTTTAAATTTGTAAATTTTATACAACTTATTTCAACGTCACTCCGTGCATGTTTTTCACTTTTCTCCTGGTCGCATTGATAAATTTCAGACAATTTATTTTATGTTTAACGTCTTTTTAGGATAGCTGCAAAGACATGATTTTATGCGAATATTTTGAAACTCAAGTTCTTTCTTAGTAAATATATGTTTTCAAAAAATTTGCAGTCAACAGATGTTACTAATCTGTTCTAATGTTTCAATTCATTCTTCAAGTTCAGAATGTTGCAACTGAGAAGAACGACACTCATCCACCCAATAAAGATCAGAATGACAATGTGATTTTTTTATGATTTTTCAAATGGTTATTTCAATTTTGATCTTTACAATATTTATTTTATCTAAAAACTATTTATGAATTCAAGTCTCCAAACACAAACAAAAGCAACAAAGATGGAAGAGATGATGGTGATGACGTCAGGAAAGTTGATGACGACAAACAGCTGACGACAATGTTGAAGGATTTTGGAGAGGTACTTTGACATTGTGGCGTTCATATTTTCTGTTCATTCAGCATCCGCCTGTCCCTTAACCCCCTAATCATGTAATCATTTCTTTTTTTGTTTCGAAAGGCAGTGGAGGATTTTTCATTCCTGTACCCGATGCCCGTTTGCAACTTTAAAAATGCACACAAGGTATTTTCACACTCAATTTGGATGTTAGTTTATTGCAGTGTCTCGTTATGTTCTTATTTAGATTTTCGAAACACTCACCGTATATTAAAGAAAACGTTCACTTTATTATGCAAGTCTGAAAAATGTTGAGTCGTTTAAAATTCATGCTTGCTTGATGTTGTTTGTTTGCTCAACTTCATGGATTGTGTACACCCGTGTATGTACAGTGTACACTGCCCACACAATGCAAGCAATTTCATTCTTTCAATTTCACAAATCATTCCAATTACGTTCTGTCTCTGTTATTTGGTAGAACACAGAAATTACTATTGCACTAAAATATAAGGTTAACGGTACTTGACTGGCAATTCAGTGTTTCAGGTAAATTTTTTACGGTTTACAATTGGAAATTTTGATAGCTTAATAATGATTAGTAAAATTTTTAATTGAAATCTATTAAAAAGTTAAATCTGAGAAACTGAACTGCTAGTGAGGTTGATCTAGTGCTGGAAACGTCATATTTAATAAGCATTATTAAGCTAGCTGTCTAAATTTTCTTTTAATCATAGTTTTGATTGAATTTTTCGTAAAACTTCAAAAGATTTCATTGATTGTTATTCTTAAACTGCGTCTTGCTGATTTCCAACATCGAAAAATGTTGGTTTCAATTCTTAGGCAATTAAATTTAATAAATAAATTGAATGTTTTTAATCAAAATAAGGTTTTAATAACCTTTCTTTAAAAACAATTTCTTAGGAAAAATTGTTCACGTCAAAATCCACTATACACAAAATTATAGTCACACAATTTTTTCTCGATATAGTTTTAAAAAAAGTAAGTCGCTGTGATGTTGTGCTCTTAAGTGTGATGGAAACAGTTAGTTAATTCTTATTTTGTTATTTTGACTTGGGATTTGAACAACAAGGTTTGAACTACAAATAGATAAGAACGGGTTACCATTCGTAACTTTGAAAGAAATAACTTGGGGTCGGTTGTTAAGAAAGGATAATATAAGACTTCAAAATAATTTGTTCAAATTTAAATAATTATTCCAATAGAAAATTGTAAAGTGCAGACAAATTTTGAAACGGACCGCATGGATCACGATCTTATTCCGACCTGCACAATATTTTTAATTTTTTAAATGCTATACGGCACTTGGATGGTGATCCTAAAATGTAAAAATTCTGCAAGGACAAGTTGGTCAGAAGTTTTCTAAAAACTGTGAGAGCTATAATCACGGAAATGCGCTGTTAAACGAGCTGATGTTTGTACATGTGCTGATCGGTCGGCACTGTTTTTTGATCGGATGGAATGAACTGAAGCTGACCAAAAAACGTTGCGTAGAGTACTCAGTGTTCGTGTCACAATTAGATGCAGACATCAACATTTTAAGCTGGACAGCATGTAAGATCATTGAAAATAACTAGCAAACCTTTGATAAATTTGGTCAAATAGGGTTGTTATAGAAAGGAAAATTCTAAAATTTTGAGAACAGATTACTGTTTCTTGAATGAAGTTTATGCCATTGATAAGCAGGCAAGAATTTCATAAGGATGGACCGAATGTTTAACGTGAAGGATCGGAGTAACTTGCAAGATTTTCACTGTTAAATATTAATATTCCGTTATAATTTATATGATTAAAAAAGTGCTGATATTATAAGCGCCATCTATATCGTGTTGAAGCAAAAGTGAGGAATGACTCGTGGCCGCTGAACAGACCGCAGTGGAAGTTTGTGGTGGCCTACAACGAGCAGGAGAGGAAGAAAGAAATTGCAGCTGTCAGTTAGTTCTGATGACTGGTTGTTGATGATGATGATGACGTGGTTGTTGTTGATGATGATGAGGTTGTCGTTGATGATGATGATGAGTAGGTTGTTGTTGATGATGATGATGATGAGGTGATTGTTGTTGATCATCATGATGACGTTGTTGTTGATTATGATGATGACGAATTTTCCATTCACCAGTCGTTAAATCTATTTAATTTGATTCTGTTTTATAAATTTTTCACAAAATTCAAAGCTCCAAAGAGTACCGTTGAAATTAATGGCCAGCAAAGAAAATCACAGCAGGAAAGATCACCCACAAGAACGCATTCAACCTCCAAACTCAACAAATCAGCAGGTAAGTCCTCGAAGGTGTCGGCGTCTTCATCTTCCGCCTCCTCCCTGGCTAGCAACGACTCCAAACTCATCAAGGAGAAACTCGATCTCACTAAACCACACTGGGTGCTCAAACTTTTCAAAGATAAAGATTTACCTTCCGTAAGTTAATAAACTTTCATAAAAGATTATTTCCTTCTTACACGATTCACTTTCAATACAGGACTCGGTCCATTTTGTGAAGAACTCGGATGATGAAGATCGATTGAAAGAATGGAAAGATTCGTGGGAACTGCGTGATCCAGGAAGGAAGGCCAGGGCTCAGCAGTCGAGAAGGGACTATCTCTGCACTCATTTAGCCAAGGTGCTTTTATCAAAATGTTCAAAATTATTTAGCTTTTCATTTTGACTTGTTTCCATGTTGCCGCGTGAAAAGAATCTTCAAAATTATTACAACTGCAGCTCCTAAAGGGTAGTAACCCCGTTTATAATACTATACAGCTACTGTAAGTTGCATTTTTTCATGTAAATTTACATTTGAATCACTTGTCAACTTTATTGCCATCGCCAAGTAATGTTTATGCCATGTCCTGGCAAGTGCTCGTTTCATTATCACCGTTGCATGATCTGCTGAAAAACATTTCTATCTCATTGAAAGTTCTTTCAATCTGAATAGTAATAACCAATCACGAATATTTGTTGTAGTTGTCATGGTTACAATAGAGTCATAACCTTGTAGTAAATTTTCAATTTTTCCAGGCAAACTTGTTTATTTAAACTGAGTCTTATCAAAAATTTTATAACCGCAAATGAATAAGGTTTTATTCAACGAGTCCAATAATAAACCAGCTGTTTGCATTTTTTCAGAAATACAAGTCGTGCCTAGATTAACCTTATTTTCTTAGTTAGTTTTCAATTCATACGATGGCTACGTATTTTATGCTAATGATGACCGCGCCGAAAGATAGATAGAATATCAACAGGCTGGTAACATATGTGCAGATGTCGCTGGCAATAAAGAGGGATGATTATTTGCTTACTTCAATACTTTTCCAGATCGCTCGTTTACGTTTATGCCTAACGCAAGCAAATTATTCAATGAAAATGGGACTTTTATTATTATTATTATTATTATTTGATATTATTTCACATTTTCTTCATTAGGTTCATTAGTTTACAAAAGTTCACCCGACCTAAATTCAATCCAGTGTAATTATGCGGAGTACATTTTGTTGATGGTTCACTAATTCACGCAAAATTACTTGGCAGCGTGAGACTGAGGAGGAGCGCGCGAAATGTTACAGCAACGTGTGCGACGAAGACTTCACAGTTCCGACAATGGCGGGAATCATCTCCCAAGTGAACAAGATGTCGGGCGCAGGTGACGATGAGTACAGCATGGAACCGCCCGATGTGCAGCAGACCACGGCTGATTATGTGCCTCAAATGGATCTCAAACCCTTCATGAGGTTGGCTTCGTGTTTCTATTTTCATGCTTGGGCAGCGTGTTGGTGGGTTGTTTCATGTGTATTTATTTGGAGTTTGTGTTTGTTGTCGATGGCTCTGGAAAATATTGAAGGGATTGTAATAAATGAATAAATAAATAATAAATGAATAATATGTTGTAATTTTTATATTTTTGATATCGTCATCATCTTATTCTTAAGCACAACCAATCGTGTGAACTTTCATCAATTTGTCTCTATCGCCTTATTTCAAATATTTTTTCTGCGTGCGTGCGTGTGTGAGTGTGCGTGCATGTGTGTGCGTGTCTGTATATTGTTGTGACATGTTTTTAGTTGATTGTGATCTTAGTGTGGTAGTAAAAACGCTGTCGTTTGAGTTGATGTTGATGTGACAGTTGAAATGACTGAGATGTTTGTTGTTAATGTGGCTGGTAATGCTGTTGTTGTTGTGACATTTGCATTTAAAGTGATAAGTTCATTGTTGTTGATGTTGTTGTTGTTGTTGCGACATTTTTGATGTTGTATGTGGTGTGTTTGTTGTTGTTTTTGATGTTGTTGTTTTTGTTGTGACAATTGTGCGGAACGTGATAAGTCTGTTGTTGATTTCGCTTGAGAGATTGCCCCCACACTAAGATGAATTGAAAGGTTTCATCAACAAATTGGTTTTATTATATGTTTTTTGCAATACCAAAAATGACTATGATTATATTGGTGGTGTTGGTGATAATGTTGATGTTGTGGTGATAACGTTGATGCGATGATGTGGACGGTGATAATAATAAACATGATGGTAGTGGATTCAGATGATGACGATGATGTTGCCGTTAAGAATGTTGTTGAGAAATTTTGGGTTTAGGATGATGTCTCCTGATGATGTCTTGTGAGGATATGGAAGAGAAAGAAGATGAGATTGCAATAAAGATTATCGAAAGGGCAAAGTTTTATTTTGATTTTAAAAATTAAATCAATATGTTTGGAGTTTCAATTTGGTGAGTTTTTTTTCTGCGTCTCTTTTATGATGAAATCTTTATAAACTTTTTTTCGTGCTATGAAAATGTTACTTAATTTTATATTTGTGAATAAAAGTAGTAGATCTGCATTTTACAATTAAGCAAATAGTATAAATTTATTAAAGAGATGATTGCAAAAATGTCTATGCGTGCGTTCTTATGTTTAAACGCATTGATGTAAAATTTCATTCTTCGACTGTTAGCGAACTTACCTCAAGCACGTTGCTTTGAAGGTCGTTTTTTATGGAAAATAATTTTCAAGAAGTTTTTTTCATTTCTTTTTAAACTTTTATTAATTTATAATGATGTAAACATTAAATTTTTGGTTGCCTTATAAGCAGTCTGTTGCAGTTTGAGCCGGAGGTTTGTGCCGGAGGGAGTCGGAATTTGATGATCTCGCTCGTTTTGTTATTTTTTTACTCGTTGATAATTCAACCACATTAATTTTATTTTTTGATATTTTTAATGGAGAAACTTTCTAAACCCTGTGAGAATAATCATGATGAGAGCCAAGCATGAGTTTTGTCAGTTTTTAAGGTGCTTCCTGAGTGTTCCCTTTGTTTGCAATATATTTATGGGTAGTGAATGTTGGCCTTGGTAATGGTCGACATGCTTTCAATGAAAAATTTTGAGGCGCCAGTTTGATATATCTAATGGACAACTCAAAAAACGTTAACATTTTTATTTCGTTGCTTGATCTTGCCGAAAACATCCATATTTTAGCGTTAAACATTCGCTCTTGGGAGCTTGTTGGTAAGTTTTTACCAATTTACTATTAACACTACGCTTAAGGCTTTTCTAGTTCAGCGTATTTGTATTCTAAAATATTGTTGTAAGTCTTGGTACATATTAACATATTTAAATAAAATTTATTTAATATGCTGGAAATTTATACGTGTACATTATGGAGAGGCTATTATATACTATATACTATTATATGCTTATATACATACCGAGATGTCTATTTTTATTATATTAAAATCTAATGTAGATTCAAAATAAATAAACATATTTTATACCATAATTCAACGTTTAATTAAAAAAACTTTTTAAATATTTCATTGATTCAAAAGAGTAACGACCAATTGACATTGCAGAAAAATTGGAGAAGATGTGAAGATTCTCGACGATCAGACGTTGAATGATCAAATTTGTGACATTCACATGCAGTGCCTCCAGTTTAATAAGTACCAAGAGTGCATTGAGTACTGGAGAGATCATGAAAAGTTGAGAAGAGGAGAGCTTGTTAAAAATATCGAAGATTTCTACGCAAATATGCAAGTTAGTGGAAAGGCAACGTTAGTTATCTTTGAAGTCAAACGTTTAAGGCTAAACAGTTAATTAGTTAAACCTTCTTTTTTTCTTGTTTTTACTTACTCTTTCAACTATTGTGTGTAGTTATACAGTTTCATGATTTTGCTTTTTGAAAAACTAACCAACTTTTTTTATAAAAAAAAATCATTCAAGAAAAAACTTGAAGAATCTTTTAAACTGTCGACCGTTGCAAGGAATAATTACCGCGAAAAGCAGTTGGAAGCAGAAAGAATTAAAAAGGAAGAAGAAGAAAAGAAAGCAGTAGTCGTGCCAGAAGTGGAAAGTAAGAAGTCTGTGAAAAAGAAAGAGAGCAGGATGTCCAGAATGAAGCGCTGATTATTTAGTCATTTATATTGAATGATGGTAGTCATCGCTGATTGAAATGATTGGTTGCCGTCACATCGCCGTTAAATCTAAATTGAATTTAGAAAAAAAAAAATATTTGGAAATAAAGTTTTATTTCTCAACGTTTTGATTTTAATAGAATTAATTAAAAAATAATGTGGAATGAAATTTTGTTTACATATTAATTACTTTTAGATTTCAATGTATGGTATCGTTTGATTCCTGGTTATATTTAGCTCAAACATTAATTTTACAAAACAATTCAATACTGAAATTTTTTTTCCATTATTTTCTTATTATAATTATTTTCAATATTCAAGATTATTTGTAAATGTTTTAATTGTTTCATTTATTTACGAAATTAAATTATTTATTTATTATCGATTGAAATTAACTTTTGTTGGATATAACAAAAATTTTAAGGTTCAAAAGTTTTTGCCGACTTTTAAAAATATCTAAATTAAATATTCAAGTTTTTGCGTTTGGTCTTCCATCTCCTTTATTATGTGAAAAACAATAGTCATTAGCATTTCGTGCTTGTTGAATGATTAAGAACGAAACTAACTGAACACGGCTAAGCCCAACAATTTTTATACCAACGTAATTTTTCATCAACATAATTTTTTCGAACGATGCTATTGACGTGATTTGTGATAATTTTATTCTTGGAAATATGATCCATTTGTACGTTTCGCTCAACGATTCCATTCATTTCCCAAAGTTGTTCTTCTTTATTCATTCATCTTTCGCCATTCGTTTCGTTTGTAGTAATCTGTAATGAAATATTAGGTCGTATATATTCTAAAGTAATTTGTTTTTCCTAAAATAATCCTCCTCTGTTTTTTAACATTTGTTTCATGTTTTTCAACAGTTATATTGTTTAAAAAATATTTTGTATTAATTTATTAGTAACATCAAAACAAAAACAGAAAAAAAAGTATTAATTAGACACATAAATAAACAAAAAACTCTACATATATATCAAGATGAAGAGGGATTAATATACAAATTGCAACCAATCACTCACCAATTGTTTTAATTCCTTAACGGATAATAGAGGTTTATGGCATTTACTTTTCTTATCTCTATCTAAAATCTGCTCCTACTTAACTCTATTCTGTAAATTCATCCATCCGACTTTCCAAATATTTTTTAGTTTTTACTCTTCATTAGAAAAGTTTTTCTCGTCTTCATATACTTTGTAGTCACCCATAACTCTTCATGTCAGATTTAGTCAAACGATTTTGAAATCTATATAAAATTTTAGATTGTTTGTCCGTTATTTTTTGTGCTAGTCTTGATACCGAAATCTGCTAGACTGTTCTTTCGAAATGCTTTACCTTTTTCAAGTTGTTCTTTCAAGTCAGTCATTTTCAGGTGCAAGCAACTAGTACTGGTTGATACAGATTATCTATATAAATTACAACAAGTGTTGAAGATGATTGAAAAATCGAAATAGGTCCTATTCACTCGAGAATGAATTTGAAAACTGTATATTATTCTAATTATATTAAAATAAATGATGACGACAAGAATTAGGTTATAAATATTTAGTGTAATAAAAAAAACTATCCAACGCTAGAAATTTGGTGATTTCATAAACTACTCCATTAATTATGGTCTTTTACCAGCATATATATATACATATTTAATGTTTAAACTGCTAATATTAATGACAAATACAAACACGCACATATATTTGTGTTTGTTCGCCAACACATATGTATGTAATTTATCCTACGTATTCATATGTATAGTAATTATTATATAAATGGGGCTATTATATAATAAACTGTATATAATGTGCTGCATATGCAGTTACATTTTCAGCCTAATTACAATGATTAAAATTTTTCATTTATTTTTTTCATACATTAAATTTGTTTGTCGCGTGAGATTTTTTTTTATAAAAAAAAAATAAATAAATACTAAGACATGCCAGCAAGCCTATTGAAAAGCGCAACGCCACAAATGAAGATTGAACAGTGCAGGAAGCTTTTAATCAGGTAAGAATTTTGTCCGTGTGTCATTACAAATAAGTTTATAAATGTTTAAGAGCCCCACATTTTTCAAATTTAAACTGTTAAAATAAGTATTTTACAAAAGTTATCTGAAAATATTTCCATCAAATTAGGTACTAAAGCTATAAATTAATAATATGGAACAACTTTGAAATTTTTACAAACTTCCAATCCTAGCTTATAAATTCTTATGCGTTAAAGCACTATTGGCTTATTTACTAAACAACAAGAATTTCAAAATATTTCAAAGTCTAAAAAATTTTTCATTCAAACTGAACTATAATGTGGTCAATAAAATTTGTTTACACATGTTTGTGGAATTCCAAGAGGCATCTTTGGATTGGCAGAATGTATGTCATGCGCCGCAATTGATAAGCATCAATCTTATTACAGACGTTGACGTGATACAGTCAGAAAGCATGATGCTACGTAGACATCATTGCATTTTAATCAGGTCAACCACCAAACACATGTCACCTAAGCTATTTAAGACAGCACAAACAAAACTGTTGCAATAAATTTCACATAATGAAGGGCGAATCGAGTCCTTGTAAGATAATATTTTTAAGGAGCTTGACATGTGTGTTTGCTAACATAACGATGTTTTGGAGCAAAGTGATATAAAATTAAAACAGAATTTTTTAATGAGATGTTAACGAACAAAATTATCAATGGACTTTCAAAAGTTGTTACATTAATGGGTGATGAAAAATTTTCAAACTATTTAAAACGAGGACAAATTTTAAATACTTGACGTAACGGTAAATGTAAGAATGATTTAAAATGATGGTACATCATTCATAATTTAAATGACTTTTGTACTTCATAAACTACGGAGAAATTTTAAAAAATTGAATTGACATTTGAGAAGCGATTTAAAAGTTTGTTTGAAGTGTTTCCTTAAAAAATAAGATTGCAATCTTCTTCGCATGGTACAAAAACACATATGTGGCAAATATTATAATACAACGTAATTTAATGGACCTAAAGTCAAATTCACTGAATGTTTTGCAATTACCTTCTATGTTTTTCCACGTGTTGCAACGATTTCTGTTTATGTCTGAGAATGTTTAAATGTAAGGAAACGTACAGTTGTAAACATTCTGCCAGTGAAAAAATATACAGTTGTAAACATTTTATTTATTATTTTAGTGAATCTTTTTTAACGAAAAAGTTATTCAAACCTATCAAGGCATATTTTTAACTTGAAAATTTCGTGAGAAAAAAAAAGTTGATCACTTTGTTTTCATAGGCAGATTCGAACAAACAGCAACAACTGCTGAAAATAATTTGACGAATGAGTTAATGCACAGAGAATGTTGAAAAGTAAAGGAAAATGATAAAATATTCGATGAATCAATGTTACAAGTAGAGGAAACCTGTGCAATTTTTTCATTATATTTCTACACGCAGAAAGAAAAAAAAACAAAATTAAATTGAAAGCGTTGAATGCTAAAGTTAGAATTTTAAAAAATGTGGGTATATAAAATAGCTTCAAATACACTAAGTAAAAAATACGGCAAACATAAATAAATCATACTAATGAAAAGAAATTGAAAGACCTTTCGAAATTAGACGGATAACATTGCAGAAAGGATCTGATAAAGTTGGATTTGATAAAATAAACCAGGTGGGGGGGCAAACTTTTTGCTGTGAGAACCGCCTTGAGAACTATTTTACCTTGGAAGGGCCGCATATGTACTTAAATAGAAAATTTTTTCGACCTGGGGGGAGAATTTTTTTAAGATTTGTGTTTTGTGTTTCCTTTTTTGTTCATAGCGTATGGCTGACGACCTATTTTTTGGCGACATAAAATAGCTCCGCGGGGCTACCCTTGAAATAAACAAATATAACGCTTAAAACTAAAAAAATATGTTGGAAATGGACAAAAAAATGGATACAGTCTAAAAAAAGTTCAGAAAGTGTGCACTAAATTGATTGTGTACATTCTTAATTTACATACACTTTTCCTTCTTTATGATTTCAACATTTTTTGTAAGTTCTGATTGCAATTTTTTATTTATTAACAGTTTCTGCTTTAAATTTCTATTTTAAAACAGACAAAAATAAACAACCTAGAGTGCACAATTTTTAGCTGGGCGTTGAGCAGAAACGCGTGAAAATTCCAATTATTTTAAAATAAAAATGCTTATCTCTTAAGCTACATTTCAATCGACGCTGAGGCCAGTCGTCCGGAAGAATTTGAGATCCAAGTAGATAAACTGATAGCGACAGAAACTTTTGTATAAACAAAATTGGTTTTAATTTATATTTCACTCAATTTTTAAATTACGTTGAATTGTATGATGACATTTTAAATTTTCAAATTAAATCAATTTCAAATAGCTTCTAGATAAACTTCTCATTTTGAAATATTCATTTTTAAAATTTACAAACTATGCAGAATTACAGATGTGATAAAACTAATAGTAAAGACTGAACATGCCAAAGACTGGAAGGAATGAGCGGATACGATGCATACACAGCGCACACCAGCCAGCCCGGCACCATCCACGTCTTATTTTTGTCAATAAATATTATGCCTTTAAGCTATGGAAATTAATTGTTTTGTAACTATAATCACTAGCATCTAATCTTCGTCATTCTTCTGTAAAGATGAAGATGCAGCTGGAAGCGATTTGTGTTAATATATTTTGTAGCGCTGGGCATGCGCTAGTCATTCAGTTGGCTCGTCAAATCATCCGTAGTAACATGCACCTTCCCATCTGCTCTGCTCCTATATTTTTTTATTTACCACTAGTCTTAATAATTAAAATTCACTCTCTGATTTAATGAAGTGTGAGATTTTTACAGAAAAAAAAAAAAAAAACTTTAGTTCCATTGCTCGAACGGTCGAGTGAGTCTTTACTTGGCGAGTAAGTCTTTACTTGATTCTTAATTAGGATCATTTTGTTTTACGCTCACCTGGAAAGTTTGAAGTGTAAATAGAAGAACAATGCAGAATTTCTTCTAATATGGAAAAAATCAAATTTATTCCCAAGTGTCAAATTGGTCGTTCATCGGGTTGGCTGAAACCTTTGCAGTGCTTTGGGCTCAGTTGGTTCGAATATTGTTTGCACAACAAACTATCACAAATTTTCAGTGTACGACGTGCTTCTTACTCGTACATAAAATGGTTTGGGTAGGTCGTGCAGAGTGTATGTTTGTGTACGCCGAGTGTTGCTTGTGTAGGATTAGGTGTACGAATATGTGTGTAAAAAATTTTCAAAAACAGCTTTGTGTAACCAAGTACAAAAAGTGAATAAAAAAAACATTTAATAAAAATGCATTTCTTTGATTGATTCAATTTAAATGAAAAAAACCGGCCCATCATTCCCGTTATTCGCATTTTATAAAACAATTTATTTCCGTGACAAAATGTTTGTGACAAGTGAAGATGATGTATCGATTTGCTTGCCTGTAATGCAATTGTGGGTAACCGCTAAGAGTTAAGAAAATATTGATTTCTTTTGATGAATGTCGCTAAAGTTGATTGAAAACTGGTGGTTGCGAAATGCACAAAATAATTTCATGAGACTTGTCAGCCCTCCATGCGTCCAACGAATGCTCTCAGCCATTTGTGGCACCCATCTGTTTATTCTTTAATGGTTGAGGTATTTGTGCGCGTTTGTTAAATATGCGATTGTCAATTTTTTAATTTTAAATTTTATTTATTTATTTTACTTATTACATGACTGACCAGAGGTTCAAAAAATATTGTCATTTATGATTTTAACATATGATAAACGTTTTGTAGTTAATAAAAAGTGGTATAAATTTATTATTTCCAACCAAAACCACCTGCTTCAGATAAATTTTTACATATCACACGTATATGAACGCAATTGAATGCATGCA